GAAAAGCGGTTTTGTGACTAGCTCTGGAAGAGTAGGACAAGCTGATTCTGTAGGTTGGTACCATGATGACAGTTCGGAATGTGCTATAAAAACGGCATTATCGTATAATTAGTGGTGATATTGCGGATTAAAACTCGCAAAAACGTGTCAACCGAAGTGGGGCCTCGTAAAGATGAGACCCTTTGGACGTTAAATATGAAAACATATTCATACCACGAGTCAAAATAGATTTCTGTTTATGGTCAACAGCAAAGAAAATGAGAAGACTTTTAGACGTGTACATCAGTATGACTCCAGTTATTAGTCTGAAGGGAGGGTTACGGAGACATCGTGATTTGTGGGAGACACGATGCATAGGAGGATAAATTTGAGAGAAACCCGCTCAGAAAAGATGAGGGAAAAACGGTCAATCGAATCAATTTTAAGATAGATTCGTAGCCTTTGCTCGAAAGCGGATAAACTATTTGACAATCCCATATAAATTGGCAGGTTATGCCAAACAAACTTATACCTGAATACAAAATATCGAGAAAGTTTAGAATGGGGGTTGTGGTAGAAGATGTGATTAGTGAGGAACTTCGTCAGACAGTCAACCAGTCAGTCAGTGCCTTTGAGGAAAATAGATGTGTACCTCTGAAATCCCTAATTTTAACATAAAAGTTGCATTAATTAGAAAACTTGTAAGAAAACTACGTTGGATATATGAGCTACTAACGGGACGAGGACCTAAATCCGGGAGCTTTGAAGGCAAGGGGTAGGCAGAAGCTAATTTCCAGTCTGCGAAGCCAAATGAATTTTACGTTAGTTAAGTGGCATCTTTGGAGTAGGAATTATTTGGAAGTGTCGCGTGCAAGAGTTCTCTAGTGAATTGTATTAGGAATTTTCAATTAAAGAAGGGTTAAAGTCGTTTGTCAAAGCAAAAATGGGCAGTAATATTGACTAATTGGAAGGAGAAACTTTCCCTAATACCTTTACCTTATTCCAGGAAGCAAAACATTATGAGATATAAGGCCGCGGATCTGGGCAGCTTTGACCATTATTCCATCGGCCTGAGGCGATAATAATAATAAATTATATATTTAAGGCCCAAGGGGCCCTTTCATTAGTGGAAATTTCAGTCCTTTGACTACCTTGAAATCTAACGGGTTGCAGTAGACATTCAGCACCAAAACACATGTAACCACACGCTGAAGGGGAGAATCCCATTACTGAAGTT